AAATAATGAAAATAGATGTGTAAATATTGCATGTTGTCTGGAGAATTAAAATATATAAATGTAAAATCATGTTTAAAAATCATATTAATAATATTTTTACATTGTACATTCACACGCTTTGCTTGTACAATGTTTAGATTACAAACTGGCATGTTGACTGGTCGATGCGCTGATGATCAACGCATTTTATCACTTATCCTGATTGACAGACCTGTTCGGCATGTTGATTGGTCGACGCGCTGATGAGTTAATCGCTAATCCTGATTGACAGCTCTGTTACGCAACACCGAACGCGCGTTCGCTTTCTGGGACAGCTACTGAATTTGGGGTTCGCTTTCAGCGTTCGCTCTGGGTCCGCTCTGGGTTCGCTGCGGGTTCGCTACGGGTGCGCTCCGGGTTCGCTCGGGGTCAGCACTAGCGGACCCCAAGCGAACCCGGGGTGCGCTCTGGGTCCGCTTTCTGTTAGGTTGTGTCTGGTCGGTACTGTAGTATTTCTAAATATTGTTCAGTTGATAAAGTCTATAAACGAAGATGTGTGAAGAAGTATTTGTTTGTGATTTCCTATATTCTCTTATAATATTGTCCCCTTAAAATTTGCTGAAAATTATAGTCGCAGTGTATACATTGTACATGTAATTACCATTCCAAGTTGCACCGGTTACACTACATTTAATAGCAAGAAAACGTTATGTACTTTTAACTGATTGATGAACGAGTGCTAATTACTCATTTTGAAAAGTTTGAAAATTCCTGTGACAAAGACTTTTCCGACATAGCTTCTACCTTAATTGTATACATTCGTCAAATGTATTAATATACAGTTTTCGTACTAAATACTTATTTTCATTTCTTTTATGTTAAAAAAGAATATATCCAAAGGGTTTCAATATTCTTGACAAGTTTCAGGCAGTTACGTATCAGTATTACATATCATTGCTGTCACAGGTAATTAATGGGGGAAGTAGTCCTTTCAAGAGCATGGACACGGCAGTATGACGTTTGACTTTTTTGTACTAATGCTTTCCAAAAAGGTATCAGACTTTTGAACTTTGTACAAAGATCTGATCTTTCTATCATAACACAGAGAAGTTTAACTTTACATATCACGTATAACATTAGTTGGAATAAGAGATTTAATCTCCTCCTTTCCCTTCTTGTCCTTTTTAGTACCCTGCATATCCCATCATAACCATTTCTATGAAAGTAAAGCATCATATCTTCTGTTGGTATATGCAATATTATTGATAAAATGATTACAAGATCTAGCTTTTCTGTTGAAATAAACATCTTTAACTGCTCAATTGGATTATTAAATACCGTATTAAATAATTTGTCACATAATTCGATCCACAGATTTGGGATGATTATAGATAGAATGTCAGATAATATCCTATATATGAGTTGTGTTGAACGGGAAATTGTTGAAAGTTCTTGTCCGGGGGGGGGGTGCTCTCCATCCCCCATCTCCCCCTACTGACATACCCCCCCCCCCCCGCCAATTAAAAAAAAACATATTCAATATACATAAAGCATGAATATGTTTACTCAATCATATAACATTCTATGCAACCGAATTCAAAATTAATCGCACCTGAGTAATACTGATTCCATTACATCTCACACGTTGGGCCTCAGTATAAAATACCTTCGTGTACCCCACGCACAATTTACTTTCACACTTATTTATGGTAATTATTTATTTAAATCATTGTTAATTTAACACAGCTAGCAATTGTTATAGATAATGCAGTTTAATTGCGTTTATATGCTTAAATCTACATGTGTTTGTCTATCTGTTTGTTTGTTTCCTTGATGATATATTTCTAAGGAAGTCATTGATAATTTTTATATACTAATCAGATAGCGCTTCAAAATACACTGGAATGAGCCTGTTCCAAAATTTTTACTTCGTCATTCACTCAAAAAATGTAGGTCAAATCCAGCATCTGAAGTGTGTATCCTTAGATGTAACATCCATGCAATTTTGGTCAACATGGGGCTTATATTTACTTTGGAATGAATCTTTCCCAAGAACTTAAGTTGGTCGCTCATACGGATAATGTAGGTGATCCAGCATCCGAAGCAAACCTAGTAGTGAGTATCCTTGTTTCGTCCACATAGGGTCTATAATAGAATGATCCTGCTCAAAAATCTTTAACCTGGTCACTTCTTCAGAATATGTAGGTCAGATCCAGCATCCGAAACAAGTTTGTTAGTGTGCATCCTTCAATGCATCGTCCCTGCAAGTTTGGTCAATATAGGGCTTATAGTTACTTGGAAATGAGACCTGCTCCAAAAACTTTAACCTGCTCTAAAAAAGATTTACCTGGTCATTTTTGCTGAAAATGGAGCATCTTAAGCTTGGACTACCTGAAGCATCGTCCATGCATCTCTGATAAATATGGGCCATAGAAGTCTGCTCCAAAAACTTTAACATGGGGCGCCGATGCCCAGGGTATTATATAAGCTTCCCCCACGTCGTTGAGGTGGGCTAATTTTTTTTTTGTATATATAAAAAAAACTTTCATTTACATTTATTTACAAAAGGCATATCTTAAAGTAAAACATTAATTAATTTTATACATTTACAATAATTTTCATTAAACCTCTAAATAAATGTACATGTGCATGGACAAATTGCAGTCTTGAACTTCAGATGGATAAAGTATATACATTTATTTTGATTTAAACAGTAGAGTTTGATATATAATGTATAATACATTTGTTATAATTATTGAATAAATAATTGTAAAATATCACAGTTTAATGAAAATCAGGTAAAGCATCCCTGTTCAATATTATTAAGATTAAATACGTCTTGAATGCCACTATAGATGAATGCCACTATTGTATATAATGTATATATCCATGTACCAATATTTTGGTTTGGGTGAATAAATTGAACTTGAACATCAAAAAAAGTCGCCGATATTGGTGAATCATTGGTTAATCACCTGGGCATAACCTCCAAAGCAAGCATCGAATCCCACTATTTTCATGTAACTGTTTGCATTTGTTAGAATGAATAACGTTCAACATTCACATGTCGATTTCTATTTATAAATCAATGCTCAATTTCGCATGTCCCTATTTGTAAATATACTGGGCACCATTTATACACGCCCCTATCTGTAAAATAATGGGCAATATGGGTTGGTCAGTGATGAAATCCATTAAAATTTGATCACATGACCAACCCGTATTTACATCCCAATAAAAGTTTAAAAATATCTTATTTCTGAATTATGTCAACGAGGGAAATTTTAAGATTTCTGTCTATACATATCTATGAAAGCAGCAGTTAACGGCATCCAGCCATCGTCCGACAGAATGCAATTCTTTGAAGTGTTTTCAATACCTTCAATTGAAATTGTTATGCAAATACCTTTTCCAACTTCTAATGTTACACTTTTGGTGTAACCTTTAATCCGTGTGTATCCCTGTTGCGAAAATATTCTCCATTTCAAACTTAACAAGAGATGTCTGTGAAGCACTTATGCCCCCCCCCCTTTTCAATAATTGGAATTTTTCTAAGCCCAATACTAGGCATAACTCTGTCAAAAATTGCTCGGTTGTACCCAAAACAGAACTTTATCTAGACATTCTTATAATAAATCTGTATACCAAATTTCATTTCAGTATGTGCAACCTCTGCGAAGAAAATGAACGGAAACTGCAAATAATTGGAATTTTTCTAAGTCCAAGGGGCATAACTCTGTCAAAAATTACTCGATGATACCCAAAACAGAACTTAATCAGTATAAGCAACCTCTGCAAAGAAAATGAACGGAAACTTAATTGGTGGGCGACAGACAGACCGACCGACAGACAGCAGCAAATCAATATGCCCTCCCTTCTTCGAAGGGGGCATAAAAGTTAAACTATATGTAAATTATAACTGTGGTATAATGTAATTTCACCAAAGCTTTCCACCACGCACGATAAAGAATCCTCACTGCTCAATTGACCTGAGTACTGAGTAAAGGTCTAAATTTGAAGCCCTTCACCGGTATATGGTGACGTCTCTATATGAGTGAAAAATTCTCGAACGGGAGGTAAAACAACATACAATCAATCAATCCAAACCATGTGATTATGCATACAGTAGTGTTTATGACACACTCCCTCAATAAATAAAGAAAGAAAATCAGGAATAAAGATCAAACACACTTCAAACAGAGAGAAATACACCCCCGTCAAAAAAGTTTATCAATTGTAAACTATAACGTACGTCTCGTAAATTATATACAATTTGTTTATGCAAAGTTTTTATTGGTGACACTATGAGTAACAGTAAATGCTATTGAATGGAATAACACTCGAAAAAATATAAACTGCTGTAGGAATACAGATAAATATAAATATTCGCTTGTAAATTGTAAATAACTTTGACTATATTTATACTTTATAGTTGATGTAATAGTTTGCCTAATACAATCTTCATCATATGCATTTGTTTTGCTACGTACGATTGTGAAATATTTTTCATGCAGTAGCGAATTCATTTCCATCATTCTGTTTAACAAATGAAAGCAATAATAATTCAAGGTTTGTTAATATGCATGACTGAGTTCTTCAATGCATAATTCATATTTCATAGGTAGGACCTAGAATTTAAATCCCCTTTCTTGCAAAGAAGTTTTCATAAAATTTCCAAGTTTGCAAGCATAAACTATAATATGGAGATTCTAAAAAAAAAAAAAAAGACTTCTTATTCATTTTAAAATTTAGACATGACAAGCTAATATAATTTCATAAAAATGAAAAATATATTGCTTTGCATTTGATGAACTATAACTTGCAAACTTTAAGGTTCCATGATATAGGTTTGATATAGACAAATCGTAAAAAGCATGTTGTTAACATAGGTAAATGTGCTTTCCCAATATAAAATCAGTTTATGTTGCTAAGCTACGTTTTTTAAACTTTCCATGAATTTATCTCCTTTCACAGCTAAATTAACTTCTTAATAAATTTTCAAAAAAATGTGAAACTGATAATTTTGTAATTCTAATTTTCAAAATTAAATATTTATACAAGACGTTAATCATAGTTTACATTTGAAATACCAGGATTAACACTGTAATTAGTGCCCAAAACTTTCCTTCGTTTTTTTCTCGTGAATTTGTTTTGGCATAAGTTTTTTGTTTGTTTGTTTGTTGTTGTTTTTTTTTTTTTTTGGGGGGGGGGGGTGAGTCGATCTGCTGTTGTATAGAAATCATCGAATTTCTTCCACCTTCGTTTTGATATACATAACATTATCTTTCACAAAACCATTGTTTCCTTTTAAACGGGATAGCGGTAAAAACAAGGGACAGCCACTGGCGATGTTCATGTCTGTCGTTGGGCGTTTGAAGGAGGAGCTGTTCGGGTCTGTTCGAAATGAATCCTTGATGTGATTGTTACCATCCTGATCAAACACCATAAAAACAACCCGACGAGAAAAAGGCCAGTCCAAGATAGGGTCGTATTCCCCCTTCATGATGGCGAAAAATATTGACACATGGGTATTTTTCCCCATACCGTCTCCATTTGGGTATATCCTGTTTATGATTAAAAAAAGAAGTAATTTTAAATAAGCTATAAATGCTTAACTAAGTATTTTAACAAATAGTCTGTCTAAGTTCACTTGTATTTCTAAACGGATAGATACTTTGTTGCTTGAGACAATATCATGCATGTTGTAAATTTTAATTTACTAGGTGGAGGAAAATACAAAATTTACAACAAACTGGGAAAGGGGTGGGGGTAATGAAAATAGGCTCTCTATAAACACGTATCAAACACATCTCCACTGGATCTTAAAATTCAGTATTTTAAAATAATTATAAAACAGAAATATAAATAATGCGAGTGTTAAAAATCCACTGTATACGTACCTTACACACATTTTGTAGCCATATTGTGACGTGTAAAATGGCGGGGAGAAAATACTTGTGACCTCTCCTGCTAAAGCTTGTGCTTGACGTTCTTTCCAGTTTTCCAGGCGCCATATTAATTCGCCATTGATAGATGTAACTCCACAAGCAAGTACTTTCTGAGTTAGCTGTATCACTTGCACCTCGCTGTTTGCCAGTTTTCTCTCCAACTCCTTGATCTTCTGTGTTTTCTCCTCACTAACTCTTTTAACGTCTTCAATTTCTTTCTTATTTTCATCTAAGACATTAAGTATTCGTTCCGTCTCCTTGTGCAACGTGGTAGCTATCCCTTCAAACGTCCTTACTTTGATTTCTAATGCTGTAATTCTTGTAATGTTTTGATTTTCATTGGATGATTGCGCAACATTCTCGACGGAAGGACCGTTTACTCCAACTTGCTGATCAGAAGTTGAAACAACTTGCTTCAATTGATCAAGTTCCCGACGCAAACGTGAAATTTCTTCATTTGAAACGAGATTTTTCACTTTGTCTAGTCTGTTCATTAATTCTTGAATATGTAAACCAGGCTTCTCTTCAATGTGATTAATAAATCGTCGTCGTTCAACCTATGGGAATGTTTGAATCGTATTTTTGAGTTATATACATTGAATTTTTGGAAAATTGATACGTAAACTTACTGAAAAACAATGTAAAGACAATTTCCGTGGCTTTTAATAAGACTTTAGACATTTAAAAAAAAAAAAAGAGAATACGAAATAACGGATCCGGATCAATAGATAGAGACATACCGCATCACAGCCTGCCAAGCAAGAGATCTTCTGATTCGGACATTCATTGTCTATATGTTCCTGCATCTGAAAAGAATTTACAGTCTCCACTCTTTACGTTATTTAGCTTTGAGACACAATAAAAACAGGCCACAGAAGTTTTACATTCTAGTCTTTTAATGCAATTCTTTGGCCTGATTATTACGTACAAAATCAAATATGAAAGCACTTTGGGGGTTTCAAATTGTTTTTATTTTGCTTTTAATATCGAAAATTTTGTTAAAAATAAGAATATATAACAGATAAAATTTACAAGATAGCTAAGAAAAGCTCCTTCTTATGTTAAAATGGTCATGGAAATTTGTCAAAATCTTGTTTTTTAATTACCATCTCTCGAGGGATTTTCTTTTTTCCACAGGTTTCACATTTCAAGGGGTATTTTGGACAATCCTTGGTATGATCCTAAAAAAATGCATTTGAAATATGTGACAGTCGTTATCATGCGTCTTCCCCAGTGATGATTTATTTGCTATTTTAAAACATGCCTACACTGTATTGTTTTCATTTTGTAGCGGGTTATACATTTTTTCTGCAACAGCTGCAACATGAATTCCCATACTAACAACGAAAGAAAGCATTTTATTGCTTAATTGAATATTTCAATCCTAAGTATACTATACCTCCATTTGATCCTGGGTAATTTCTAGGGAACAGTATTTACATTTGACCTGTCTTTTAGGACAGGTGCTCTCCAGGTGAGTTTTCATCTTGTTCACCTCCACAGACTCTCCACAGTTCGGGCATAGCACTGGCATGTACTTACACTCTTTTACGTGTTTCTGAAATATACAGAGAATCTGTATGTTCTAGTAATGCCTCCCAATCAATCTATAATTTGTAAGCTTAATTTTCAAAAACAGGTTACACCTGAAAATTACTTCATTTGAGGATTATATGATACCTCATAAGCTCTGAATTTTCCTGCCCATGAGCAACCCTGGTTGGGACAATTTGCCTCCAAACTGAACATTTCTCTGCGAAGTGCATTATCTGGAAAAAGCTGCAAGAAAAAAGGCATGTTTGTTCAAATTTTTAATTGTATTCAAAAGTACCGATATTTTGAATTCAACAAGAATATGTAGTATGTGCCAGTTTTGAATTTCCCCAATTCTATAAATAAACGGAATCTACATGTATTTTTACCTGCTCTTTTCTGATGATACTGAAGTCTTCATTATCTACACCCTCTTCTATGCACGACTTACACTGGACTTGGTTTCCCGAACTATGGAAAGAGTAAATGAAATATATACAATTTATTTCAAATGCACATTATCTTATGAATTAAGTTCCTGGTGCGGTTCTATGCAATTTGACCTAAATATGGCTAAATATTACTCACCTAACCACGTCAGAAATACACTCCCGGCAGAATCTGTGACCGCAGTAACTTTGGACTGGATCTCGTAATACTTTGTTGCAGGTATTACATAAAAGTTTCAAGTCAAAGTCACCTTTAAATATTTCAGTGGAGTATCCCCCTACTGGGACACCAACCTCCGACATTGTAGTTTAAACTGAAAGAGACGGAAGTATAAATTTATTTTTAACTCGATAGATTTTATATTTAAACTAGCTGGAGCTTAAAACAGATATAGTTGTTAATAATAAACATGTTTCAAATATACATGTACAAACAAGTAAAGACCGGCAAATATTGTTCAAAGTTTAGTTGAATGTTATGTAAGAAAGAAAGATCGAGAAGTTATGCATTAAAGCAAGGTTAGGTAAAATTTATAACATTTGACATTATAGCTCTTTGAAAAAGACAATAATGTACAGGTATAGTTGCTAAGAATCCCCATCATGAAGGAATTCGTGGGTATAAATAAATATAAATAAATATTTGAAAGTGTACTGATTTCTTTGAAATATTCACTCCATAATAAATGTGTAATCAAATACATCATCCAACAATATTCTTAAGCATAAATGACATTTTCTGAGAGTAAAAAAGTCTGAAGCATTTACAAGTACATGTACATTGCATTCCTTTTCATCTGTTCATATACATACATGTCAATCTCTGTAAATTTAATGCACCCCCCTCCAAAATGGGGTTTGGTAGTCGAGAATTTAGGCTTACTTTGATGAAGAATACACCTGTGTTAATTTTCTTTCTTTTTATCTACCTTGACGTGATATTAATTATAAATGATTTAATTTACCGAGTACTACTAAGAATGATATATATACTCACATGAATCTGAAATTTTCACGAACTTCTATATTCTTATTGAGTATTGTGTAATTATAAACATAGACTCATTGGTTGGTTGGTTGAGGGACTTTTAACTGCGTTGATAAGCCTATAAATAGTGTAGGGTATTTGATCCACACCCATGACTATATACTATATTTACATTAATTACTTTAATAAATTTGTTCACCAATAAGGGACTCCCTTGCTTGTGTTTATATGAATTAAATTTTTTGTTGATTATGATATATTATAACTATATCAATAAACTTTACTATAAATCTTACGTAGACCTTTAGAGGATAAATTATACATAATTTCAGTTTAAAATTCTACCAAAAAAAAAGATCACTGACTGATCCACGTGGATAAGTATTGGCTTGCATTACAAAATATGTATTTTGACAAAATTCAAAATTTGACTTAGTTTAGCTGTATTTCTTACCTTTCATAAAATCCACGTCTTATTCACCTCTCATTCATCTAAAGCTAAATTTAGAATATACATTTTCCAACCTCTATTTTTAGTACATGCAAAATCCAAAAAAGAAAATAAATCGGGCTCGGCTTCTCTTTGGAAGAAAAGGTAACTCTGTAGCTTCAAGATGGCCTCGGAGACTGAAAAACCGTTGGAGACAAAAACTCGAGATGCCTTGACAGAGGGCCTCATAGATTTATTGAAACCATCTGTCGAAGAAATAGATGATAGAGTTAAGACTGTCCGGTAAATCTTTGTTCATCTCTCACATCTAAACAAGGGGGCGTGGCTCCATGTTTATCAGTATCAAATATCAGAATATGTGAGGTGGTAGGGGGTGGGAGGGTTTGTTTATCTTGAAAAAGGCTTCCATTTAGTATTATATGTGTATTTATCGATATTTATATTTTGGGATATGTTTGCACAGCTTTTTCATGCATAGTTTCTGCCCAAATAAGGATTCTTGTCAACAGAACATGAAATTATATGTAATTTTTAGATTCATATTACATTTAGATTCTAATTCTCGCTCTCAAAGTTTCACAATTGAGAAAAAAAATTGAGCATTTATCTGACGCAAATTTTGAAAAATTAAGTTGAACTAAACAATTGGACCGAGATGTTTGGATTGAGTATGTATAAATATTTGAAATTCAATGAAAAAAAAGGGTGAAAATTGATTAACTGGTATATTGACTGCCATTTTAGGCACATGGTTTTGACATAGTCTGAGCAAAGAGTTAAGACTGATAGATAGTATTTAACCATATACCAGTTTTTGCTCAGATATTGTGTCAAAATATTGTGGCAGCATATGAAATAACTCTTACTGACTTTTTTGTTTTCATTGCACAGGGAAAGCCAAGTAGAACTTCGTCAACATATTGACAGCTTAGCCGATGGTGAGAATTTTATTCCAATTTGAAAACAGATAATTGTTCAAAATAAGATTTTTTCCCCTAAAACTAAAGCTACTACTTCCCAAGATAATAAAATAATAAATGCTGGAATATTAATTTACTCAGATTTAAAGCGGATTGCAGAACAGCAGGTTGTTCCAGTTGACTTAGAGCCATATGTGAAGAAACTGAACAGTTCTAGGAGACGTGTGATGCTTGTGAATAATATTCTCCAGAATGTTCAGGTAAACAACACCAAAGAGGAATCTGATTTCAATATGCTCGATATTTAATTTGAAAAAGAAAGAATTTTACTTAGTGAATTGAAAGGTTTCAGTTTATATTTTGTGAAATTGCAAGTGAGAATTACCAAAAAAAAAAAAAAAACCCACATCACTTCTAGCACATTTCTCATTATGACAGCATATGTTAGTCTGACTCAATTAAGTGAGCTCTATTGTGCACATGTTGACTTCATGCACATACTTAAGAATGATTCTTTTAACACAGACATGCTTTTTTTTCTACCAGGAAAGACTAAATAAGCTGAATAACCATGTCATAAAAGAAACTGCCAAGAGGAAAGCTACCCTAGACCCTACCTAATTTTCATTGTCACTGGATGTATATATATGTACATTTTGTTGATTTCCATTTCTAGAGAATAATGTCTAACATACAATCACATTAAAAAAATATCAAGTACTGTGTTATTTTTATGTAAACTTAAGAATTGTTATTGTTACAAATTTAGCTATGTACTTAAGCCAAAGTTCTGGGTACATGTATGTGTTAAATGTTTCACTTGGTTCAGACAATTAAAAGACAGGTAAACAGACATTTCAGCCCAAGATGCTTTTAGCCATCGTGTATGAATTTTTATGATGAAATCCTTGTACTTTTCACTTAGATAAACACAAGAGTTAGATTATGTCATTATCAGGTCTAAGTTACAGGGAAGGTCAAGGTCACAAATGCATTGCATGATTGAAATTCACTTAGTGTGTTAAGTTGCAAAATAGAGAGCATCATTCTGTTCCAAATACAAGTACCCAAAATTTCAAATATGCAAAATGCATAATTTGGATAGATCAGCAAGAGGTCCTTGCATTGGGCACGAGAGCGGTTTGTACCTTCCTGGTAAACAGGTCGAGGAATCTACCTTATATGGATATTGTTGTCATTATGCACAGAGGTGCTTACAGCAAACAATCGTCCAATCTAATGAATGAGCTGAAAAGCATGATGGTCTACTACGTGTTTATATTTTACTACAAACACGTGGTTCAGGCAAATGAAGGACGCGATTTCAAATGACTGGGGGAAAGTCAACTAGTAATTATTTTAATATTTTTGTGAAAAATACGAAGAATAGGTACTAATTAAGATTTCCCATGCTCACATTCACAAACAAAGCCAATTTTCCGTGTGAAATAGTATGATGAAAAACCGCTTACAAGGTCCTCACAAGTAAATAAGAATCCAGTTTTTATAACTTGATATTCGTAAATTTGGTATGCTACTGGTGTTATTCCTTGTTGCTTTATTATTTGTTTACAAGAAATTAAAAGTTAATGCATTTATTTAAAAAAGTAAGTTTATTGCTGCACGGCATTTATTTTACACAGTAATTCTCATATATTACACATTAATTCTCATGTACATTGATCATAGAACGTGTATTGAGTAGCATATATATCGTAGTAAACAATGACAAAATGTGAGTACACCTCAGTGTCGAATTGTTTTGGACCAGTAAATAGTCACGTGAAATTCGTATTCACTGATAGTACAGCAAGGGAAAAGCTGCCAGGCAATTATCAACAAACGGACTTGTACAATGGAGTGTAGAAAACCGAAATTTTACCGTTGTAAAACATTTGTATGTAAATGTGAGCATGGAATTCGTAGATAATGATGTACATATTGTATAAAGTGTGTAAATTGTTTGGATAAATGCAACATGTCTTTCCGAGAGCGATTTAAAAAACTGGCCTTTTCGAAACGTACATGCAGTATTTGTTGTAGTAACCCATAATGCAACTCATTTAGCTGATTGGTCAGTTGGTCAGTCACGTTGGTGCCTCATTTAGCATGTCAATTCATTCTGACATCACAGAAAATAGTTTCCTCGACCTGGTAAATGAGGATATAATTGTAGATTAAAAGTTGTTCAAGGCATCACCCTAGGGAAAAGGGCAAAGTCTCAAAGTCATTTCAAAGTTGACAAAAAGTTACATTTTGTTGAAATTTTACTATTTTGCCCACTATTAGGACTAGGACCAAAAAAATATTGTCAGTTGATGCATCCTAGGACCTCTAGATATGTTGACCCAAAAGTAGGTTACTTTTGACTTAAGTTTTGAATATGCAGTTTTTTTTAAATTTCCAAATTGATTTAGATGCATATCTTGGGCAAAATTAGGCATAGGATTATCAAACTTTGTCAGCTGGTGCATCTGAGTGTCTGACAATTAAAAAAGAAGGTCACCATGATCTGTTTGAATTTTATGGCTAATCATTTCCAAGTTTATTATATCAGGTACTGAGAGGTTTAGTTACACTAAACCTTGTAAGCTGCATACTGGGGCCTTGGAACATACTTATGAAAAAGTACCGGTAGGTCAAGGTAACCTACTTATTAAGTTTTGCAAGTATTCATTTTCAAATTATTTTAGATGCATATATGGGCACTTTGAGGCCTAGGATCATCAAACCCTGTGAGTTGAAACATCTTAAGGCTTTAGAGTATATCACAGTGGGCACTTTCGGAATTTTATGGATATTTTTCAGTACTTCAGATACTAAGAATCATTAAAATTTGTCAGTTGATGCGTCTTGGATCCCCAAAATGTGTTGAACAAAAAGTAGGTCACCATGACCTACTTTTGGAATTTTACAGCTATATCTTAAATAATTTGGATAATAAAAGGTTAGAATTGTCAAACTTTGTCAGTTGATGTTATTACACCTTTGTCTACACCTTAAATTAACTCATGTATAGTGGTATTGTTTGAACATTAAATTTGACTCTTTACAACAGAAGCTTAAGTTTTTCTCTTTTCTTGCCCAGTGCTTCTTAAGTGGAATATTTTTAAATGCACCACCTTATTTGGTATTAGACAAAGAAGAGAGAAAATGTAACTCAACTGTGGCACAGGGGCCTTTTTATACCCCTGCTCCAGAGGAGAGGGGGTATACTGTTTTACCCTTGTGTGTCAGACTGTCCGTCTGTCTGTGTGTCTGTCTGTAACAAATTTCCGTCGCAGTTTTCTCAGCAACTACTCATTGCAGATGCTTTAAATTTTAGCACACACTTTGTTTAGGCATGCCATATGGTGGGATTCATTTTGCGTGAATCTGATATCAACTTCCTGTTAATCCTTGCATTTATCCGTTCCATACATAACAAATTTTGGTCGCAGTTTTCTCAGCAATTACTCATCGCAGATGCTTGAAATTTTAGCAAACACTTTGTTTAGGCATGCCATATGGTGGGATTCATTTTTATACGAATCTGATGTCAACTTCCTGTTTATCCCTGCACCCTTCCGTACCATACATAACAAATTTTGGTCGCAATTTTCTCAGCATCTACTTATCGCATGCTTGAGAGTTTATCACACTCTTTGTTTAGGCATGTCATATGGCGGAATTTATTTTTGTACGAATCTGATGTCAACTTCCTGTTTATCCCTGTGTCTGTCCATAAATGAACTTGTGTATTTACATCAGAGCAGGGGTATTATTAGTGAGCATTGGCTCAAAGACTTCTTGTTTTTCCTTGACCTTTCACCAGTTAAACACAAAACTTGTAGATGTAAACCTTGTAGAAGGATACTATGAAGTCTAAAGATAGAAAAAGTACCAAGATCTCTTCATATAAGTGTTGAATGACAACAGTTTTCACCTTGACCTTTGCTCCAGTCATTCTAATCTACATACAATGTAGGTCTTTAGCTACTCAGAATCTGCTTGTATAATATAGAGATTAATTTTTCATTCATTGGAAAAGTATGCTTTCATGCTGAGATATATATCTATTATTAAAATGCATAAACTTTTGAATATGCATGTAAATGAACCCAAAACTCTTACTTTTTCTTTGAACATTTTCAGTATATCACAATTTAACACTCATTCAGAAAACAAAAGGTCTAGCATGGTGAATATTTGGTCACTGATGAAAAATGATTACCTTGCTGCATAACTTAGCGTGCAGCAGCTGATTCTCCTACTCACAGTGGTTCATAACTTTGCAAAGAGACTAGCCATCCGTAGTATGTACAGTGTTATTTTTACTTTTCTCTTGGTAAAATTAATCTTTGTTCATGCAACCATGATGTGGCCAATAAAAGATGTCAATCTCGAAGTCACCTTGTAAAATGACATTATAATCCTCATATACAAATCACAGAGTGCAAGATGTCTCCAAAAACTATGCATTTATTGTACTATGTCAGATATTATACAGGAAGGGAGATAAACAAAAACAAATTATGTAAAAACCTATTGTTGTGTTAAAAATATTGAAGAATAGAGTTTGTGTACACTTTATTACTATAGACTAAGTCTAAATACTGAATTCATGTGATAAACATTTCAGATCATGACAAATCTGTACACTGAAACAAAAGCAGATTTATCAAACAAATGAAGTATACTAATGGTAACAAAAAACTTGAAAATACCTCCACCACATAAGGACGAACAATTTCTTAAATTGATAAGGCATTTTTTTTTTATTTGGCAATCATTTTACGTTGATTATAAAAGCTTGAAGGGGCCTGGAAACAGATTTAAGTTAATATACTAGTACATGTATTCTAAATTTTCAGTATAATATAATGACATATGTTGCTCGAGCATTTCACACAAAAATATTATAAAAGCATGTTTAGAAACTTCTTTTGTCTAGAAATCATTAAAACTATGAATTTCGGGACTGATTTGATGGACACATATCCTTAAACTGTTATGAAGTTATTTTATCCTTAATATTTCAGAAAGTGGAAAATTTGTTGTGTATTAATGAATGTTTACAAACACAGGTACGTGTTTGACATAATGTTATGAAGAATATTTTTGTCATTGAATTTTAAGGATTTTCATGTTTAGTTCAATTCATTAAACTAAGTTTATTTTTTGAATAAAAATAGAAATTTAAAATTGTAAACTAAAACTGCAATGGAACTGTGTCCAGGCCCCTTTAACTTGAATAATATTGTATAACTAATACTTGTAAAAAAAGAAGTTGGAATGAAAAACAGAAAATATTCCCTGCCTTTAAGAGACACCTGAGTGATCTGGAACTAGGAACACAATTTTCTTACTATTTCTATTTTCAGTTTTCTTAAGGACCCACTATACACCAGTGTGAAATGTTTTTTAGACATTGAGAAAATTATACTGAATAAAGGTGTAAATATTGAGCTTATCTATCTAATTTTCAATATACGGTATGTGGCATTTACCCCCAGGAAAAATGTTAAGAGACGACAAAGTATCAATGAACAGAAATCAGTATTGTTTGCTTCCATGGAGAAAATACATGCAAATATAAAGTGTTCAATTAATTTATCTTGGCCTCTTACAAATGTTAAGAATACTAAATTAATTACAAGTTGAGTAATATACTGTAAATTTCAATTTATTGGAATTGAGATCTAAGGGCAGATCACTCTAACTACAGAAAAATACCATAGAATCAGAACTCTTTAGTGTGCAGTGTAGAGAGGGTTCTTAAATGTGGATTCTTGCACAAGATATAAGAATTTATATAAACATCTTAATTTATCAAGCATTCACAATTTGTGACATTTTAATAAAGAGAAAGGCAAAAGTAACATACATATATCTACAGGTGTATTAAGGATATTTAAGATACAGTGATGTTTTGCATATGAACTGCACTTTCCATTGAAAATATTCATTTTTCAAAACAAAAAAAAACAACAAACAAACCCAAAACAGATTTGTATTTCATTTGGCATCAAGATAAATTGTGATAAAAACTTTTATAGAAAATTTTATTAAGAAGTCGTTTCTTTTATACCGGTAATAGGTGTATAGTTCTTAAGGACCAACTCATGTGTTCTTAATTAATAGCTTCATTATACAGCATTGAACAATTCAAATAAGGGTATATAGCATTTAAATTAATTTTCATTCATTTCAAAATTATATATATATTCCTGACATTTCTATACCTCGAGTCAATAAATTTGAAGAAGACAAAATGTATACATGTATATTATTAACAATTCATGATATGAATTTAAAGACAATTCTGATTCTGTAAACACAGATGTATCAAAGTTTGTAGAAGAAAATTACCAGGTAATAAGCTTACATACAATAAACATAATCTTTGGTATATTTACTGAAAATCGGCAACAAAATACCATTAGCTTTCATTAAACAGTAATAATTTACATGCAGATCTTACACTCTCTCTATACCTTATTTTTTGTGTAGAGAAAATTTTACTAAATTACCTGAAAATAAGTTCTCGCAAATAAAATGTGATTTACAGTACTACAACATGTAAGAAACAAGTGAAAGAAAATAATCAGTTTGCACTCAGTTAATAAAACATACATTCTTAGATCTAGATCTACTGGCTTGCAGATAAAATTTTAAGAAACTACATGTACATATATATATTGTAATGTACAAAAAATAAACTTGCTGCTTACAGCTAGCACTTGTAATTTTTATGTACTGTACATGTAAATAAAAGGAAAACAAACAGTCTTAAAAAACATCTATGTCAAAATACATTCACAAATGTTAAGTGGAATTCAGATAAAAGCACAAGGCTTCCCTTGCCATTGGTCTCCCTGGAATTTCATTATTTCACAAATAAGAGATTATGCCATACCATATACAGTTTTTGAGCAAGCAAATGCAAGATATAAGAAATAATCAATACACTGATTGTTAAATCATGGACATTTTGTAAACAAAACAAAATATAATGTATACAAAATCAATCAATATCATAAGAAAAAATTTGGTAAATGTAAATTCTCAATGTTAAAGCCAAAACAAATATAAAATTTAAGGAGAAGAAGGACACATTGTCACGATTCAGTTTAACTACATCATAGTCATATAAGTCTCCGATAATGTAGGTGCAAAACATTATTTAAATCATCAGTACTTGTGTAAATTTTTATTTGTTTTACTTCAATATCTTATATAAAAATATTAAAAAAGTTTTAACATTCCTGTCAACATTAACAAACAGCGAAAAAGATTGATCCACTCCTCTGTTTCCCTTCATTGCACGTCCAACAAGTCGGTGATGTCATACACGATCTGTTAGTACAACAGAAAAAAAACGAGGAACGCAAAAATGATTTTTATGTGGCTGTAGCAGAAATTTTATGTACGGCAGTTATACACGTATCCCTTACGTGTGACACCATAGTTAGTTTTTCCATACTTGAGAAATATTTGTAAACATTTTAATCATGCTCATGTCTTGTTTAATGATGTCCTGTGCAATACTGAGGTAAGTTTCAACTTTGTTTTTAAAGTTAATCAATTCAATGAAGGACTTAATTATAAGTTTCAATGAAAATTTTCAAATATTGAATGAAATTTTTTTTTTTTTTTTTTGCAAACTTGGTTTGTTGTTGCTAAAGTTGTCTTAAAAAGCATCATGCAATTTTCCAGATCTATATGCAGTGTTCTAAGAAACCTGATGAAAGAAATGATTTAAGGTGTATGGGACATACTAAATTAGTAATATACAAAATTTTGGAAAAAAAAAATTGAATAACAATTTTTTTCAGGTCAAGGTCCTTCTTCCCTTTGAATTTTCACTAACAAGCTACAAATCAGTACATTATATGTACACCAACAAACTCAAAGCTATGAGTATGCATATACATTGTACTATATCTGTAAATGCACCATTTACCAATTTAAAGCTTTCATGTAATACTGGTTTATACCCAAATAAACATTATTTTTATGAAGAATCAGAACAATTGTACAACAATTGAAAATTGAGAAGGTTAATTGTTGCAAACCTCACAATTAAAAGACTTGGTTAGAGCAAATCACCACTTACTGCTGAAATTGCTTAGTCATATCCATACGTGTTACATCCATATAATCATTCATTAAAATCTAGTACTGTGTAAAAAAAATTAGATTGCTGTTAACAGGCATTCACAATATCTATGATTGCTAAAACTTGTTTTACTGTTTATTTTTTCCCCATCTTTAAATGACTACTGAAACAAAGAAATAAAAGGTGATTTGCAACAAAACCAAATTAAAAAAAATTGCCTGAAGCTATTCAATTGACTAAAACTGAAAGAAATATGAAAGAAATTACATGGGCAGGTTCACTATTCTGATTATGGTATCAACATTTCTCTAGCACTCATTGGACTAGCACTTTTTTGTCATTGTTTGCTTGTTGATTAGAGTCTTGCTTTAGGTTTTCTAGCTATAGTAGCATTGATGTTTCCTGATGGTTTATCAGTAGGCATGTAGACCTGTAAAGAAAATTATATCCATTATATTCAACTTCAAAAACAAGATGCCATGAGCTACAATGCTCACCTGAGTCACATAAGCCCTGCTATTCCTCATCAGAAATCAGACTTCATATTGTGGCCCAAGCTAGGTTTAATTGGGATTGAACAAACTTTTATTTGCACTGCCTGATGATGACTGCAGTTTAATACTACTGACCACAACCCTTCTATTCTTGAGAAGAAGATTTGAAAACACCTTTCCAGATATATTTCCATGTAAAACACTGATCTGCTATTATAGGCCAACTTTACCCTCCAGGGCCATTATATGAACAAACTTGATCCTGCACAATGTCAAAAAGCTTCCACATAAGTTTCATCTTTTCTGATCCAGTGATTCTTGAGAAGAAGATTTTTAAATGACAACCCCCTATGTTCACTATTTCTTAATTATCTCCCTTTTCAAGAGGGTGTGGCCCTTCAATTGAACAATTTAAATCCCATTCACCAAAGAATGCTTTGTGCCAAGTTGGGTTGGAATTAGCCCAGAGGTTCTGGAGAAGAAGTAAAAAGTGTTAAAAGTTTACAACAACGTCAGACAATGGATACATTTCGATCAGTAAAGCTCACTGGAGTCTTAAGCTCAAGTGAGCTAAAAAGGAACAAACCTTGTAATAATAACTATGGTAGCTGTGAAAAATTTCAGAATGCATGAAAAGGTCATCATAGTACAATTCAAAGTTTTTTAATCAATCTTTTGTGGTTTTATTTTTTTTTCTGTATTTTGTCAATTGAAACAATACACTTACATTGTCATCATTCTTTATGAAGTCAATCTTTGGAAACTTGGAAAAGTCAATTCCAAAATAATGCACATTTGGAAGATTCATATACACCTTTTCAACCTGAAAGAAATTAATACCTTTAAAAAAATTTCAATATTTCTTCTAAAAACCATCATTTGACATACCCCGGTACTAAATCACTTTTTATTCTCAAGAACTTTATTTTGACCTAATTATGCAAGACTATCAGCTTGCAAAAATTTTATTCTCATCATCATGTATATTTGTTTATAAAAGATTGTTTACAACAATGATCATTGACAAAATTCTTGAAAATGATGTCTCACTTATAAATACCAAATGATATCTCGCGAAAATAAGGTGCTGCAAGTACATGTATTTGGTGATCTACAGTTCCGTACTTCTTTGACATGTATAATGTCTTAAAGACTTTGTTCCAGCACTATTAAGGACATAAGCAACGTAGTTTGAACTTTATTGTCTTTTCCCCTGAAGTTGAAGAGTTCCAATACTTAAAAGAACTGTGTGGTACATTTTAATGTCTATATATTCTGTTGTACACTTCTTCTTAAACAAGTTTGGATAAACAAAACATCAAGAATTTATGTTTAGTAATTTTTATACATTTTTCTTTGAATTATGCAATAATTTTCATCAATTGATATCTTTTTAAAACCCCTGGTAATGTATGTTGATTTTTTGTATATGGACATCTAATGGCACTATAATCTTGAATTAAGAATATCTTGAAAAATTATCAGTAGGTAAGGTACGTTGCGTATGTCCTTAAAATACTGTATACATACTTATTCTAACATTAATCATATTTAAGTGCCTTTTGCAGTGCTTCTGCTCCACTAATTCATGATTATGCTTACATATAATTAGATCAATTCAATTTGTTAAAGTCTCAAGTGCCCTTTATGATTGGGCTAAACAGTTGAAGAGGTAGGATCTGCTATATTTTGAGTGTGCTTACTGGTATTTATATACATTTATACAGTAGTGCTCAGTTCTATAAATAGTGAAATAAATGACAGCCAAATATATAGAACAGTTCAAAATATTGACAAATTTATGTTTAGCAAAAGTAATGTAAAATTACTACCTAATACATGTATTTTGATTAGCTTTATTTTCACGAGACATAAGCATTTTATCTATTTGCCAGGGGTTAGGTATGCCACATTGTGAAGATTTTAAGTTATGATGAATGAAAAAGCCAGTTGCAAGTGGCTATTGATTTTAGTTCGCCACTAACTTTGAAACTTTTTTTTCACTAAAGCCCCCAACATGGGGTTTGTTAGTACAATAAAAGTTTAACAATTTGAACATCAACATGTGAGCAGTTAACTTAATGAACTACAAAAAGATCTATGATATGGACAGTACTGACAGTTGCTAAGACAGTTTGTAGCCATATTACTGACAGCTTTTACTTACCCCTGGCATTTTTGCAAGGATGTTCTGCGCAGTGAGATAGAGGGTATTTTGTACTGAGGGTGAGTATTCTCCCCGGTCAGCTGGTCCTGCAAATGTTTCCAAAATAATGCTCTTCACTCCTTCCCTATAAAAAATATAAGATGTCTTAACAAGGGTAGAAAATGTACTATATTATTGATTGTACTCTGATTGTAATCTGAGTTAAATGTTATAAAGCAAATATATTACAGGGGTTTGTACTATCAATACAGTCAAACCTGTATTAATCGATTTTTCAAATTCAAATACAGTATTCTGAAATTTTGCTTATATCAATATTAACTTAATTCCAGTTCCTTTCAATAAATTAAATTCAATTGATAACAAGATGTGTTTGTGAAACACCGATGCCCCCGTATGGCAGCTTATGGCGAAAGTTAAAATTTCTCAAATGCAAGTCAAAATCCAGGCCAAAAGATAAAAAAATTTAAATTTGAAAGCCCTAGCTGCAACTGTTCAAAAGTTATGGCAAAGGTTAAAGTCTTTTAAAAGTAAGTAAAACATCAAGGTCAAGGTCAAAGTTGTTGGTATCCAAAGGAAGGTCTTGTCACACGGATTACATATGTAAAGTATGAAAGCCCTAGCACCAACCATTCAAAAATTATGACCAAAGTTAAAGTTTTTCAAAAGTAGGTCAAACTCCTATGTCAAGGTCAAAGGGTCAAAGTGGTTGGTATCCAAAGGAAGGTGATGTCACAAGGATTACATTTGTGAAGTATGAAAGCCCTAGCATCAACCATTCAAAAGTTATGGCCAAGGTTAAAGTTTTTCAAAAGTAGGTCAAACTCCTAGGTCAAGGTCAAAGGGTCAAAGAGGTTGATATCCAGAGGAAGGTCTTGTCACAAGGAATACACATGTGAAGTTTGAAACCCCAAGCACCAACTGTTCAAAAGTTATGGCCAAGGTTAAAGTTTTTCAAAAGTAGGTCAAACTCCAAGGTCAAGGTCAAAAGGTCAAAGTTGTTGGTATCCAAAGGAAGGCCTTGTCACAAAGAATACACATGTGAAGTTTGAAACCCCAAGCACCAACTGTTCAGAAGTTATGGCCAAGGTTAAAGTCTCATAAAATTTTGCAAAAATGGGTCAAACTCCAAGGTCAAGGTCAAAGGTCAAACAAAATGGTACCTAAAGAAAGGTCTTGTCACAAGGAATACACATGTGAAATATTAAAGTCATAGCTCCAACCAATCAAAAGTTATGGGCAAGGTTAAAGTTGATAACAGACAGACAGACAAACAGACAAACACAATATACCCGGGATCTTTCGATCCGGGGGCATAAAAATGTTGTCAAATCCAGAATCTTGTCTCATCCAGCCAATTTCTATAGAACCATTGGTGTCTACATTTAGGTAAGATTAACTTTATTATAGGACTTCTTCAATGTTTCTTTTTGTTCGAAGATTTTACCAAGTTTCTGAAAACTTACAGTTTATCTAAGTATTCACACCTGTACTTTAACTACACAAATTAAAGATGTGTTTTGGGATTGCAGTTCCAAAATATATTTATGTCCAGGTTGAAGGTATTCAATAACACTTATTATGATAAGTAGGAAAGGCATGTAAAATAGCATTTGTTCTCTATGGTATAACATTTTCTTCTCACCATGTCCTCTCAAAGTCAATATCTGAGGTGTTGTACCACCATTTACACTGCACAACAGTACAGAATAATCTATCATCTGCATCTGGGAGAGTACGGAATTCATCAGAAACAAAATTTTTAAAGGCTGACTGGGTCGTCTTCATAACCCTCAACTCACTCAGGGCTGTCCATATTGTGGGCTTTTCTGCAAATAAGGTTAAAGCAAATTATTTTCCAATCCTTGCTTTTAAAATATTTTATTCTATAGAATATAAATTCTAATTGCATTAGTTTTTAAGTGAGAGGGTGCTGAATGGCTGGGAGGGAATAAACACGTCATGAAATTGATCTAATCTGCATCATCCAGACATTTTCTTATACAGTGTATCTCCGAGTAAGGTAAACACAAAGCAGGGATGATTGAGACTTCCTTACAATGGCGTGGTGGTTCATTCAGCCAGGTCAAGATGTAAAAGTTGTTGAACAAACTGTTACACTTCAATTTTTGTCCCTCATTTAAACCTATTTTGGGCTTACTAAAGCCCATATTTTGTCAGCCCCTCAACTTCCAAACTATTTCAGATATTTTGGCCAATTCACAGAATCATCACTGAGTGCAGTTAACACTTATCACTCATATTCCCTTCAGAGTGATGGCAGCAGCTTAGAGGGATGGATCTTAAGTTCTTCAGCTTTTCTTCATTAAAGTCTTAAACTTCTAAATGAAGAGTTGTAGAAACATGAAAGCATCTACAATGGAATCTTACTTTTGAAAGTTGGCCAAGGTCAATGGTCAATGTAAACTTAGCAAAATGATGTGAGCATGTGACCTTGAACTTTAATCTTCAGGTCACAAATAACCTTTGTCACCTTTAAATTTTTTCACCCTAATGCTTAGTTGTTATATACATGTTTCTATAAACTTACCTTATCTTACTGTCTAACACCCCCCTTCCATCCCACCCCTTCTATTTGCAATAGTAATCATAGTATAGTCTATTTGTGTAGCAAGTCTTATTGAAATCTGACTGAAACTGTAGGAGGAGTAACTTTTTGAAAGATTTTCAAAGAAATTTTTATTTATACTCACACAGGGCAACATCAAATGTCTCAAAAACCAATAAATAGAATTATTTATCTTGTAAGAAAAGTCTACTAGTGAACAAACTCACTAAAATTGGATTTAAACTGTAGTAGTAGGAATTATTTCTATTTTTGTAACCATGGCAACACTGATTGTAAAAACTGATATACAGAATTATGTCCCAGTATCTTGGTGTAGTCTACTTTTGTACCAATTAAGTCTTATAAATTGAACAAAAACTTAAAAGAAGTAGTGTTTTGAAAGAAATTCACAGAAATTTCTATTTTTAGTAACAATGGCAACATTGCTTGTAGATATCTGAAATATCAAAAACTGATGTACAGAATCATGCATCTTAGGCCAAAGTTTTTATTTTTTTTGGTTTACGATTTTCTGTCTCAAAAAAATGCATTGGGTGGTCGAAAAATAAAAATAAAAATAATTTAGGATTCAACAATTTCATTTTAAAATAACAGCAATGTTTATTTTAATAAAAATAATACACGTCAATAGTACTTTTAAGTTTTATTGTCTATTTTATTGTCACATAACTCTTTTTATTTAATTTTAATTCATTTCTAACTTTAGACTGAATGTCATTTTCATTTACATATTGTTCTGATTTTTGTTTGTCAATCAGTGCTTAGTTCATGATGTTCAACATTTTGTGCTCTTCAGTGATATGTGATGTGTTATAAACCTTGGTATCCCCACAAACTAAAAATAAGGATCCAAATTCAAGTTAAATTTAGATTGAAGAAAAATACAATTTAAGTGTTTAACAATATTAAAAGTAATTGACGTTGAAATAAAGGTTATAATAATTTGATCATGCAGCTATCAAATTTAATGTTCAACCTGTGGCAAAAAAGCCTGTAATAATTTCTCAATCAAGTCCTTCTTTAAATGTTTGTTATGTACCTGCACAGTAGGCAATGCTCATTATTTATTAGTAATTCAAAGGGCTTTAATCTCAATTGAGTATGAAATTTGCAAATATTTGTATATTGAATTTACTTCTATAAACTAACAGATGTTTTATACACATTTGAATTTATCCAGTGAAATACCAGTCAACGTTGCTTCAACTAAGATGTATCTCTCAACACTAAATTAGACTAACTATTATCCATGGATTTATCAGCCTATTTTGGGAAACACCATTTTTGGGGAATTGGGAAAAAATTATCGGCTATTTGATGAAATTGCAAATTTTTTTTTTTAAAATGTTGCTTAAATCATGTACTCAGGGGTAATTCATTTAACATTTCAGCACGAACTCTAATTTGGGCAACCAAATGACAATTAAATATGATCCATCTTATTCGTACAAAATCAATTATGAATAATAGACTAATAAAAGTAAAATGGACTTCAATGAGTATAAAGCATTTATACAACTTAGGGTAGTACATGTACATGTGTGTATGAGATTTCAATTTAGATCATTATAGTATCTGTTTCTGGAGATTATAAACCTCCTGCAAAAAATTATACTAAGTACACATTTTCTAAAAGTCCTCTTTTAATATGTATAAATGCATTGAAAATATATTTTTCTCTCTGAAATAATGCCTAAAGTCCTTACCATTAACTCGCAGATCAAATGAGTAGGTGGAAATAACTTAATAAATCTATATAATTACACAGTATCATCATTTTTAGAAAAAAAGAGGAAATTCGGATTAAAAGTTGGCGATGTTTTTACAGCGTTTTTAAACATGTGTTATGACTGTAGCTTTGCTAAATGAGTTAAAATTACAGACAATCTGACAATTTTACTTAGTTTTTTTCCAAGATAATTAAAAATAAAAGCATTGTTCACCAATTGAGAAAAATACTGCCAAATTGGGAAAAACTGAACTCATTTTCAATTGGGAATGGGCCGAACTTCGGCCCCTGAGAAGGCACTGATAAATCCTTATTATCTATAGGTGTATCCGTGTCTGCTAGGTCGATCAGGGTTGGGCACACACTCTCCAATATTACGGTATGAATTTAGCCCATTGAGACATTGCAATTGGAGAAAGGGATCATTTATCCAAGATTTTATTCACTTTTCCATGCAGAAAAAGTTCTTTAAGTGTGTGCAATTGCTTTCAGTGAGGAATTACCTTGTTACATGACAGAGCCGCCATTTTTGGTTAGCACATGTGTTTATTTACGGTCACCTAAATGTTTGTAAAGGTCTCATATATTTATAAGCGCTTATTTGACTAAGATGCATTCTAAAATTTAAAATCCACCAGTTCAGCTGAGAAAAATCCAGAAAAATATGTCGGAAAAAGACATTATTTTTAATTTCATGATTTGTGAAAATTAGGGTCGGCGGAATCGTAAACCAAACGAAAAAAAAACTTTGGCCTTAGTATAATCTACTTGTGTACCAAGTCTTTATTCAAATCAGACCCAAAACTGTAGGAGTAGTAGCATTTTGAAAGAATTTCAAAGATATTTCTATTTTTAATAACCATGGCAACACTGTTAATCAGAATCAAAAACCGATACTTAGAATTATGTACCTTACTATAGTTTACTTGTGTATTAAGTCTTAATATTAAAATCAGACCAAAACAGTAGGAAGAGTTATTTTTGAAAGAATTTCAAAAAAAATTTTTAGTAAACATGGCAACATCCTTTGTTGAAATCAAAAATAGGTCTTAGTATAGTTTACATTTGTACCAAGTCTTACTGAAATCGCACCAAAACTGTAGGAGAAGTAGTTTTTTGAAAAATTGTTTACAGACGGACAGACACACAGCAGACACCTTACTAATGCATATGCTCTTCTGGTCTCTGACCATGCTGACCAGTAGAGCTAATAAACTAATCTATTCATATTCAAAATTAAGTGTTCAAAAGAGCTCTGTACACCTTCTTTATCAGACTTTGATACATACCATCTCTAACCTTTTCTACTTCACAAACATGCTTGGCTTCATGACTGAATAGAAAAGCGTGAACATGCTGCTGTCCTCCCTATATACAACATTGCAAAATAAAAATCAAACTGTCAGCAAATATCAAGCAACCTAGCTATAATGTTAGAGAATACGTAGTGTTAACATCATGCTCTTAAACAAAGGGTATATGCAAAGGCAAATTTTCTTAAGGTGTATTTAATGAATTCTGGATATATTAACTGTTACTGACAGTCTCTAAAAGAAGACTACATGTAGAATGTCATTCGGTCAAGTTTTCCAATTATGCACTTGAGGCTAATTCTTATTTTAAAAAAAATCAAATAAAAACAAAAAAAGCTAATTCAGGGAATTTATGTCACCAGCTTAAGGACAGGTTATCCAAGATATCAAGAAACAATATAAATGCAATACACAAGTTTGTGACCTTGACCTTTCACCTCAAAATCAACAGTGTCATGTTTTATTTATAGACAGTGCTGAAGTGAATCTGGAAACCATATCATATATGAATTTGTGACCTTGACCTTTCTCTTTCTGGCCTCAAAATCAATAGGATTAAGTTAGAGTAATGAACTAAACTCAAAATGATCTTTAGCCATCATTTGGCAGCCATTTTATGCAATATATAAAACTTTAACTTGGCCTTTTGACCTCAAAATTAACGTACTAGGTTTTTTCAAGTCATAGAGAGTCAGGACATAAAATTTCACTGCAAAAGCTAACAAACTTTTAGAGATATCAGTTTGAAACTTGAGTATCAAATACAGTCAGAATGAGGGACAGACAACAGACAGACCCAAATCAATATCCCCCTCTTCTCGCAAAAGCAGGAGACAATAATTAAAGCAACAACTGCACTGCAAGTTTCTTTAAATTCTAAACTCAGAAATCTTGGAAAATTTACCCAAGTTCTAACTTTATATCAAAGTTAAATATAGGCACAAGATCTGAAGACTTACAATCTCCATGCGTTTCCATGGTGCTTCTTCAATATGGATTCTTGCCCTTATAACATGCCGATACTTTCTCAGAAAATGTTCACAAAGCAGCAAAGCAAATCTTTCTGAGCTTTTTACCTACCATAAGCAAATTGATAATTATGAATAATAGTGCTTTTTTATAGTCCAAAATATAACAAAGGCTTTTGTTATACATGTACCTTTAAATATTGGTTTATATATAAATCTATACTTAAAATCTAAACATTTCCAAAATTTTACTGAATAGTCATAAAAAAAATCCATGTTTGACTGCAAAACGAGATATTGGACCTGTTGATGAGCTATTGAACCGCATACGTCACACAGTCGGCGGGATCAGCTAAGTCTTATTTGCATTTGTTGGTGTCTGACAGTAATGGAATTGACTTAAACGACAGTATAAAGGAAATTTACATAAAGGAAATTAGCGCAAGATACATGTATGTCAAAAAAAAATAAATAGAGAGGTATAAAAAAACATTATTGACTGTGCCCTTGGGCAATTTTTGAAAATTCGAGATTTTCAACATTTAGCATGTATGCCAGCCACTGTAAATCAGGATTTGTATCAGATAGAACTTTACCAACATGAACCAAATAATGACTACGGTATACTGTTTTCAAATGAGTTTACAGGGGAGAATTCATTCCAACCTACCCCATACTGCCTAGCGAGTACATAGACAGTGTTTTTCTGGGAGTCTGTTGCTATGATGTCACTGTTATCTCCATGGGTGTAGTCCTTGACATTGTTCAAGGTCAGCTCTGTGCTGACCTCTAGCTCTTTCACATAATGAATATCTCCTTCTCTCCTCAAGTACAAAAGTTTTACAAAATTCTTCCCGTATCCAGTGTAAACAAACTCCGATTGAACCACAGATTCTGAAGCCATCTGCAAAATAAAGCTGTTGTTGAAATTTTAACATTAAGTGTATCATGCATAATTAAAATAAGATTATTGATTTACGATTTTTTTTTTTAACAAGTCTAACATTTTTAAGTCACAAAACTATGAGGAAATTCAGATAACAGCATGTGAAATGATAAGACTGGTGCTCTACTAATGTATACGAGTTCAAATATTCAACAAGAACACAAAGGAATGTGTATAAAAGCCAAGATAATACTTCTGGATCTCAAGAAAAAAAAAAGAAAAAAATTTCAGCTTACCATTTCCTTTTGCTGTAAAATGCAGCTAACAACACTGATAAACTTGGTATATTTATATGTAAAACATAAACTTTGATAAATGCATTAAATTTTAAATTGTTTGTGCATTTGTACATATCTACATTTTGTGGTTCATTACTTTATTGTCTTTAGCATGCATATTTTCTTCTTACTAGAATCAATTTGTTAAAAACAAGGTTATCTGTTGTAAATGTTACATGCTCATTTTATTCAGAATACTGTCCAGTGTGTGTTAAAATTGTAGAAAGTACAGTAACTGACATAATCTTGTCAAAATATCACAAATCTGACAGTCAAACTCTATTAGAACAGTTCAGGTTTGTTGTAAATAGCATACAGATAATTAAGGTCAGACGACACGTTCCTCAAATATTTGCTTTTTGTCTCTCTGTAATTTACCAAAAATATTTATAATTATTGTTATCTTGCTATTTCTAAACTGTTTTTAAAATATCTTTTAAAAAATGAAGACTGAAAAATTGTGATATAAGCAATTCAAGTCTTTTCCAAATGGATTATATAGGAAACACTATCCTCCGTTACCTTCCACAAATGCCTGGTAAGGTGCCTCAATTTTTTGCGAGGAAACTTGTTAAAGTAGAAATACTTCAGTGACAAATTATTGGGGAAAATTATATATTATTGAGGAACGTGTCGTCTGACCTTAAAAATCATTTCACTTTGGGAAAGGGAGCAGTGTAAATTAAAGAAAAAAGGAAAATTTAATTATTAAAAATTAAGAAGTTATTCCGTCCAGTTTACTTATCTCAGGCTGACGATATAAAAGTGTAATTTTTCAATAACAAGATCAAAGGTCAACCCCAATAATTAACTAAGTACTACTAAAAAAGACTGCAATGGCCAAGTATCTAAGAATGTCATAACTCATTGTGTTGTCATATGTGATTAAACTTTAAATCCACCTCTGCTTGACAAACCAAATATACATGTAAATACATTTTCAAATCTTTTATTGAAGTTCTGGATGTGTCTGTTTTTCATTTTAACATTTTAAAATGGTATCTATATACTTTGTAATGGAAGGAATTTGAAACTAATGTTCAGTTAATACTCTATTTAATATATACTTATAAAACAGAGTAGGATTCAAAATAAATTTTATATACTAAAGAGATTTGTATATTTACATTAGAGTTTTCTATTTAAAAGGCTGTTATTAAAAAAAAAAAAATACACCAAGCAAAATGGCACCATGAGGAAGGGAAAAGGTGTAGGGTTGATGATCAGGAGGAGACAAATTAGATCAGTTGATAAAATTTGACATGAAATATTAATATTAACTGATCAGGAATTTTGATGCTCTCTGATTTATCTAGACTCTCTTTCCTGGGGTGTAGAGATGGTTCACCTTAAAATGAAGTTCCAGGAGGTTTATTCAGGTTTTCCCTCTCAACCATAAATTTGCTTATATTTTTATCAACCAATCAAATTGCATGTGTTCAAGCATTACAACGTAAATAATGCGGACGCCAGTATCAAAGCATTCTAATTAAAATCAGCTGTTTGTTTGGCTACGTTTGCTACATACTACGCCACAAATGTAGCGTAAGTGGTAGCTTATCAGAACAGCTGATTTTAATCAGATTGGTATCGAAGAGTCTGAACTCTTTTATAAGTAAATGATTATTGTTTTATACTACTGTAGATTCCTAAATATACACGAGGAATTAATTAACGTGTAATTACGCGAGGAGCACCACTCGCGAAATAAAATTACACGCTTTTATTTTTATGGTGTTGAAATTAATGTTAAATCTCATTGTAAACCGTCCATTCGCGAATTATTGTTCTCGCGATTTGGCGTCTAAGAGCCCTTTTGCGATATTAAGTACTCGCGTAAAATAAGGAATTTACAGTATTATGCTTCCTGTCAGTTTATCTCTATATAATCAATACTCAACTATTTTCGCATAGTGTTCTAAGGATTTATAAAGCGTGAGCATACTATGCCGAAATAGTGCACAGCTTCTTTTTCTGAAAAAAATCCGACAGAGCCCATGCCGGGGCTCAAACTCATGACCCAGAGATTGTCAGTCTGATGCGCTACCGATTACGCCACAGACGCCGTTATCTAAAGCAGTGTATTATAATACATATAAATGTAGTTTCAAATATTTTACTCTTAGAGAGTAAATAAAATAATCAAAATAATTTTTCTAAAATAGTTTCTTGCAATTTTATCCCTTCACTCGACTAAAATTCTCTGAAACTATCTGTACATATACCTAATGCATGGAACATTCAAAATTAAAGTAAAAAGATTATGACGTACATGTAGCACAACGTGACGTCATAATAGGGGTGTACTAACATGAATGCAAGAGGTGATGAAACATTGGAAATAGAGAAAATATTGTCGTTTTTAAACAACAGTCGGCATAATAATAACAATAGTGTTGTACTTTGCATGCACTATGCCTAAATAGTACAACACTATTATATAAATATTATTTTCCACCTTGTTAAACAGTTGTGAAACTGTTAAAATATAATTTTATGATAAATTACTACACAAAATATTATGAGTGTTTCTATTTGATGGAGACAATAACTATTGTGTGAAAAACGGTGTAAAATTCCTGATTATTTAATAAAACAGTTATTTAAACTTTGGAATTCAGTCTACTTGTGACTCATGACTATAGAGACTTGGTCAGGTATTAGTTCACCTCCGCCTTTGGCCTCAGTCAACCAATACATGACCAGGTTCATTAGTCACAAGTAGACCTCATCACAAGTTCTAAGGAACAAAGTACACCTCTGACCACAGTGTCTCATCGACATGCCATTTTTACAATCATACTTTTATACCCTCTTCACACGAAAGCTCTTTAAACTTTAATTCACAGTAAATCAATGTGAATTAAAATAATGCAAATTAAATAATGACATAAGTTGAAAATTATGTCTCCCTATACCATGTATACTTAGCAGATATACATCTGAGTGATCTGACATATTGTCACACTGTCTGTACACAATTTTACTGATTAATATTTACATTTCCAATGTCTTTGTCCGAGATAAAATTTCAAATAGTAAAAATATTTTATTTCTGCATAAATCTACTGGTTCATTGAAAGGCGTGGTGAAAAAAAAAATCACGCGCGGGGCGGGACAAATAGAGACAGAAGCGGGGCTATTAGCACGGGAATTTGCAGAATCAAGAGCATGTAAATATAAAGAATAACTGTCAGATTTTTTGGTTTCATGACGATGATCAATCGATTGGCTTACGTGATAATTTCATGCATAAACACCTTCGGCATTAATGCAAATTATCACGCAAGCCAATTGATTGATCACATCATGAAACCAAAAAATTAGACAGCTATTCCTTAAATATAATTTTTCTCTGTGTTTCACTCAAAAAAGCATTTAAGTACCTATATCTGACCACTGGGATATGGCATGTGACTTCATTTTGCCAGTAAGCATAAGCCCATATTTGATTCGAATTGGTTTCACATAGCACTCACTTGGAGTGGATAAGAAGTAAATATTTGATGCAGGGTAAATTAATTGGAAATAAACTAATATGCTGTAAATTTTTTTGTGTGAACATGGTTCAAATTTAATTCGCAGTAATTTATGTTTAATTCGAATTTAACTCTCTGTGTGAACTGGGAATTAATCTTGTTTTAAAATCTTCATAACCAGAGTTACTATATGGTATGCACTTGGTAAAAATGTACGCAAGAATTGTAGACAGAAATCAACTTTTTAAAGTATTAGGGGCATGAGGAAGTGAAAATATGAAAAAAAAATTGATTGACTGCTCCTTCTTAATGTTGAATACTTATTCAAAATCTTAAAAGTCCTACAATATAACGATCCATGTTTATCCCGGATCCACCTTGTGTTATTCTACTTGCTGTCAGATATATGCAACATATCTATACATGTAAGTCTAATGAACCTATTTGTGATACTGATAAACAATGAGAAATAAATTAATAAATGCTAAATTTTAACACTGTCAATTTTGTGTGTTTGTTTCGATCTACAGTTCTTGATTCTGAAACAAACAAGTAACACTCATCTACATTCAATGTTAACTTCAGAACGACACAAGAAGACGTCGTGTAAAAAACGCAGGAGTTCAAAATAAACCATGCCATAGGGCCTACCTGTTTTTCAGTGCTGTATACCAACTAACCAAGTAAACAACACATTGTAAACAACACATGAAACGCATGCCTACCAGGCCTTGACTCTTATTATACAAAACACATCTTTTCCTTACCTTTTTTCCGTGAAACTTTGATTCACACGTATTTACGTGACAAAGCATACATAATCGTTTAACCTGCAAGTAACCTGTTGCACTTCTCAAAGTGAAGGTCATCTACTTTCAATTTCCAGGGAGCGGATCAACTAGATAATGATTTTTAAATTGATATATATATATATATATATATATATATATATATATATATATATATATATATATATATATATATATATATATATATATTTATGTTTAAAAAGTTATTTCTAAGTTAAAATCAATTATAGGTCTAGCTGAAGTTACAGAGTACATGTAATTACTCACTCAGAATCTGGGAAATAATTTTCTGATATCAGAAAATATATTTTGATATCAAAAATTCGAATTTCTGATATCAGAAATTCATTTTTTTTTATATCAAAAATTCGAATTTCTGATATCAAAAAATCATTTTGTAATATCAGAAATTTAAATAGATCTTTTGATATCACCAAATTATTTTTTTGATATCAGAAATTCAACAAATATTAGTGTTAAGGTCAAGATCTAGTAAATGAAAGTAGCCTACAGATTTCTCAAATTTGAGAAATAAGTTCCTTTAAAGATGCTTTTTAAGTGTAGCTTGGTCAAATAAGGTGTATCGGGGCATACTTTGTAGGTAAACAGGACGAAAAATCATATTTTAAACTGTCTTTTTTGATGAAAAATTAATATCAAAGTACTGAAAGTACTGAAAGCCGGGCTTTAATATTGATTGATTGATTGATTGATTGATTGTATGTTGTTTTACGTCCCATTCGAGAATCTTTCACTCATATAGAGACATCACCATATACCGGTGAAGGGCTTCAAATTTTGACCTTTACTCGGCACTCAGGGCCATTGAGCAGTGAGGGATCTTTATCGTGCCAACGCCTGCCGTGACACGGGGCCTCGGTTTTTAAGGACTCATCCGAAGGACCCGCAACTTTCACTTCAAAGTGCCGAGCGCATGGCGAAGGAACAGTTGCTACCTATTTTTTATCGACTTAGGTCTGTCGCGGCCGAGATTCGAACTCACGACCTCCCGATCACGGAGCGAGCGCTCTACTGACTGAGCTACCGTCAACGGTCCGGGCTTTAATATGTTCGAGTGTATTGTCTAATCCTAAATAAGTACATATTTGAAAATCTTTCTTTCTGACCATTGATATTTAACAGGTAGAGTTTGTATGATTATGATTAACAATAACCCATCTACCAATAATTTACGTTCCAGAACCCAACGTTAAGACCCCAGGATAGGACTTGGTGATATTTTTAATGAAAATACATTTATACCTTTCTAAACATTAAGCTCACAATGGTTATGCATGGTAACAGTGCACTTTGAGTGGTTTTGCTGATTCATACAGGCACATATATAGTATTGGAGGAGCTAGGGGTGTCACCATTTTTCAAACATAAACTTTTACTATGGACAATGTACATTGAATTATTAGGTTGATTGACTCTTCGCAATCAAATTTAAATTGGAACCTTCATCTCACTCTTCGTAATATAAACCAGGTATTTATCACGAGCGACGAACAGATTTACTAAAAGCAAAATGGATAATCTAATTTTAATTAGATTGTACCATCATTTTATTGTAGCATATTAAAAGTACGGCAATTTGGTAATGAATTAATGAAATTCGAAATGTGAAAGTAAGTTGTAGCCCACCCCTACTCCTTCTCCAACGGAATAGGATTTTCGGGTTTGGACAATTCTCCTTTTTTCTGATAATGATACTACATGCCTGTATTAATCAGAAAAGAAATATTCTTTATTTTTGGTCCTCTAGGAAACCAGCTGCACGAAAATTACAATTACCTAATCTTTATGACATGAATATGAGTCTAGTTCTAGTTCCAGGTTCGGCCATAATGGTCATTGCCTGAGAAAATCATGATGTATTCAGGTCTTTATGGCTCGTACATAGATGGCTCTTCATTCTGAACAGGAAGTTTTGAAGCAAAGACTAACCAACTTTTTCTGAAAAATTATAATGTGTTGTACTTAGATAAAGACTAATGAACATTTTTATATGTTGTTTTCTTTTAATTATATATTAACATAAACGATTTTTATTTCCCAGCACCCTTGACAGCTTGCATGTGTTTTAAGACTTTTTTTGGAATGCGCGCGCACGCTCAATATACTGTAAAGCGCTTTGGGAGCACATGCGAGATGAATCCAAGGTGAGAAGTCTCGAACAAAATTTTCACATTCAAAACATACCATTGACTTTTCACTAAAAATTTGATCTGAATTTGTAAGCATAAAAATTTTTTTCGACGCTAAATTGATTGTTAAATGGGTATAAATAATTTATAAATTATACATAAACATATTCACATGAAATTTCTATCTTAAAGTTTACATTTTTATTTATTTATATTCCATGCTTCACAGAATATAAATCTTTATCCCAGTCATTTAAATTAATACTATTAAATTAAAATATTAACCAAATGGAATCGCATTGTTTATTTCATATTATGAAAGAAAACAAATAGTTTTGAACTTCATTTACATCACCTTTACACAAGATCTTAGTCGCTCGCGTGGCGCAGTGGTAAGAGCGTCTGCTCTAGAGTCGCGAAGTAAGGAGTTAATCCTTATGTTGCGGGTTCGAATCCCACTGTGGGACGTGGAGACCGGTCCTTCCGTTGAGACCGTATAAACCGAGGTCCCGTGTCGCAATAGGTGCTTGCACGAAAAAGATCCCTCACTGCTCAATGGCCGTAAGTGCCGAGTATAGGACAAAATTTGGAGCTCTCCACCGGCAAGTGGTAGTGTCTCCATATGTGTGAAAAAATTCTCGAGAGGACGTTAAACAACATACAAACAAACAAACACAAGATCTTAACCATCATAAAGATTTTTGTTCGAAATTATTTATTAGAAAGGAGAAAGTTATTTTAATTGCATTCAGGGTTATCGAAGTAATACCGTATTTTCAAACCCTTTTCTTTAAACGCATTCAAATTTTAACTTTTTTAATTGAGTAGTAATATATTGAAAATATTACAGCATTACTAGTATTACAACTGTAAGATTTTTACATACATATATCATTAGGCTAAAAAAAATTTGTTTGTTTCCGGTTATACCCGACCTACCTCCTACACATTTTTTTTTCAGAAAATTACGAGTATCCGTAACTGTCTCTTTGTTTTACGAATTCGTAATGGCGGCGCACTTGTTTGCTGCAAGTAGTCGGTGTTCGCTGTTATTTTATGCCGTTAATATAATCATAAAATCATCATCTTTTTGCAATTATTTTGAAAGGAAAAATTTAATAAATTGTCTCCTGTTAAGCCGTTTTCACAAGATCAACCCTGAAAATATCAGCAGGAATTAACACGGTATCGTACCAAATTACATCTGATAAATGACCACCGATGTTTTTAAAATTCATTATTACATTAAATTTCTTGCCATTCAAGACACCTTAATGCTATACTGATCTTTAAAAAACAATTACAGATATCACGACATTGTCAGTGAGCTTACTGTTTATACATGCTTCACGGACGTAAATTCAGACTAATTATACAATGTACTATAATATCAGTAAACGAACAATAAATGTCATACAATTTTTTTTTAATTCTACCAATAACATATGGCTAGTGAGGAGAATATATAAGTCATTTGTTTTATTTAATGTCACTAATTTAAACATTTAAGGTCACTTATTTTAACTTTTAAGAAAACAATTAATTTTTTACAAAAAATGTTTGTCTGTCAATTGCCAAACTTTTTTTTAAAAGATTGTTGAACCATATGGTTTGCTGATTTTTCTTTAGATATATTTGAATTAGAATTTAATTTTAAAAAATTATATTCATATTGGTTTAATAATTTATGTAATTCATAATTAAAGAAATGCACATATTTTTAGAGATATTCTTAAAGTTTCAAACAAACAGTCCTTTTATCGCCGACTAGATACACCAGATACACCATGTACAATTGCCAGGCGACCTAATTCAGGCATAACGCACATTAATTAATTCTTTAAACTCCAATTTACTTATCTATTTATTTGCTGAAAGACAAAACAGAGAATATAACCACTCACTTAACGAGGTTCGCTCCTGAGCTTTTGAGCAGATTTTTATTTTAACCTATATTTAAAAAAATCTGCGTAATGTTTTAATTCTTACAATAAATTTGGATTCTACAATGCCAAATAAACTATATTCAGTTAAAACTCCATGATTAAATTCGGTACCAAAAGCATTAAGTGAGGAACTATATTTTGTGGCGGAAGGTTTCTTAGAAGAAAATGATCATTTTTTCTCTTTCGAAGTATTTAAAGTATGTTAAGTTTGGATTCCTATTTTTACATGCAGCCTGCACACAGAATTATTTTGAACAGTGAACTGTTTTATACTGGTCCTAAATTATATATTTAATGAACTGTCATGAATTCAATCATCATATTTGATAAATAAATCAAATATATTGTGAAAATCAAGAGGAAAAATAGCCCTAATTTAAGCTCAAAATTAGCATTTTTTTTAGTAATATCTAAAAATTAACATCACAGACCCCCACTTTTAACTTTCTTTTCTGAATACACAAGATCCTTTTAATCATTCTTCTTAAATTCAGTAAAATGTCATTACTTTTAAATGAGTTTTTTGCTTGTTAAATTTGTAATGCTAGCAAAATGAAATTTTTTGAGTGCAAAAAGGTCAAATAATTGAACGTGCGGAGTAATTTAAAAAAATGTTCGTTGTCAAAAATTTTAATGGGTTTATTCAAGATGAAATAAAACTGTGTTTGTTCCCATAACTTATTTGAATAAAAAATATCGGAGGAAAAACTTTAAAAATTGATTTATGTGTAAGACGTTTTTACAGTGCAAAAAGGTCAAACTAAATGACTGTTGCGCCAAAAGAAGCGCATTGACCCCAATTTTTTGTTTTGATTTTTAATTAAGCTATGTGTATAAATTCTAAAAATATACTTGATAAAAAATTCTCATTACTTTTGATGTCAGGATCCAACCTCCTTAACATCGACGAAAACGATATGAAATAT